ATTTTACAGGAAAGTACAAAAGTTTTTCAATGAAAATTTGCATATTTTCTGTTGAAGTGGTGTTTTGTATTTGTTCACAGCCATGTGCATTCACAGTACAAAGTACAATTTCTACTCCTGCTTGATCACATGTTTTTAGAACTTAAATCTGGAATAGAATGATTTTTTTCCTGGACTTGTCTAAAGCAACCTGTCCTGGGAATTCCACTTACTAGAGTGAGAAAAGAATATTTAACACTACTACTAATGCTTGCGTTCACAGTTAAGGACATTTTAATAACATGATGTGTGGGAACACTGAAATCAGGAATTCAGTTCAAACATAATTAATGAACATCTAACAGTATTAAATCCATAGAAACCTGAGGAAGAGTAAAAGGCAGAACATCTCTATGTCATTTCCAAGAAGATGATGATATGATTAAACTTTGAGGAAATTGAAGTATAAGAAAGAAAATGTTAAGTATTTTAGGAAAAAATCATTCTTTCTTTTTTTCCTTTTTTTCCCAAACACAAAATGGCTGTCTTCAGTTCTCTTTGATCTGTGTCAATTTTTTTTTTTTGGTTGGGGAAGGTTTCTTTTCAGCAGTCCTTGCTAAGTTCCGATTTATAAGTGGAGTACTGTTGGTCTCATTGTTAGCCGTTGCTTTTACCTAGGTTTGCACAAGCCTGCTGGCATATTTCTTTTTTTGCTATGTTTCATCAGCTACAGCGATCTGTATAAACTCCTTGAACTTTACACACCACTGCCTCAAAAAACCTGTGAAAGAATTCCTTAAATTGAGCCTGAAGTTCAGGTGGTTTCTCTGTGTCATGTGATAGAAGATTTAATCATTCAGAAGTCTTTTCTATTATACTGGAATATTCTCAAGGTCTACAATAAGATTGTTACTCCCATTTCCACCAATAAGTTGTACTGAATATAGCAGACTACTAGTCTTAAAAGTGAGTATCAGAGAATATCACTACTCCCTAGTGGAATCAGGAGTACTATTTTTTTATTGTCAGACACAATGACAAATCATATCTCCCCAGTCTCTCTTCTCTACTGAATTCTTATATCACTTTTTTTCCCCACGTATTTCATAAATTTTTACTTTCTGGTAAGTCTTTCATGTGACATTTTATCAGCTGCTGTTCTATGAGTTTGATAACCTATCCCATAACTTTCATATCCTTCTATCAAGTATTTCTGTGATGGTAGAATAATTTGTTTGTTTTTAAGTAAACTAAATGTTAATAATATAATTGTAGAAGGCAAAGGATACTTCAGTAGCAGAAACTTTGAGAGTATGATCAACAAATTGAAATACATTTCTTGCACATTCAAAGTTTTTATTTGTACCAAGTTACTGCAAGTTGTAGATAAACTCATGAAAGAAATCTTCTGACACAACATCCTGCTCATTTTATGACCAGGGTGGTTTCAACTTGGCTGGTCACCACATGCCCACTACATTGCTCTTCACTCACAGGACCACAAAAAAGGGGAAGGAAACATGATGAAAAAAACTGTGAACTGAAATGTGGGTTCAGATAAAGACAAGGGATCATATTTACCATCATGAGCAAACTAACAGGTAAAATAGCTCATCTTCAGTCTTGATTCTTCTACCTCCACCTGCCCTGAGTTGTAAAAGGAGATAGGGAATGGGAATTGTGGCCAGTTCATAACACCTTTTCTGCCTCCTGTTCCTCTTTACGCTCATCCAGAGCCCCAGCATGGAGGCACCTATGTCGGTACTGACCTGATATAATAAGCATCCTTCTCATATTGGGCTGCAATTCCAACACGGGGTGCAGTATTTCAGGAACAAATTGCTCCTATGTTGATACTCCATGGGCCCTAATTCCTTCTAAGAAATCTGCTCCAGCTTGGACTCCTTTCCACAGGCTGTATCTCCAGCCCAAGACCTACTCCTGTGGAGACTCTCCACAGTCTGCATCATCCTCCAGGATACATCCGCTGCTACACCTTGATCTTCTCCATGGCAGCACATGGAGATTTGCTCCCTGTGGTGCCCATGGACTGCAGAGGGACAGCCTGCTCCTCTATGAACCTCTTCTGAGATGCAGGGATCTTCTGCTCAGTGGCTAAATGTCCTAATTTCATCCAGGATTTAGTTGTTTTCTTTGGAGAGTCTTATATGATGCTATAAATGAGAGAGACGTTGTTGAATGAGAGAAATGGCCAGTGCTCTACCTCTACACAGACTCCTGGATGGTGGCAAATGCCCTCTGGGGATGGTTATAGTAATAGAAACAGAGCAACAGACAGCGCAGAGGCAAACCCATCCAGGCTGCTTTACTATGGAAAGATGTTGCTGTCTGGCTAGAGAAGACAGTTGTAAAGATACATCAGGTAGATGCTCACATACCTAACATCTTGCCACTGAACAAGATCAAAACAACCAGCAGACGGATCAAGATGCCAGGATTGAAGTGATTCCGGTAGATCTGGACTGGCAACCTAAGGGTGAACTATTTCTACTATTTCTATCAATGGGCCCATGACATTTCAGGCCATCAAGAAAGAAATGCAATCTATAGATGAGTTTGGGATTGAGGGGTGGACTTGACTATGGATGCTTTTGCACAGGTTATTCATGAAAGTGAAACAAGTGCTGTAGTGCTGTAGTTAAACAAGTGGATAAAACCTCTTTGGTACAGAAAACAATGGCTGAAATATAAATATAGGGTGGTCTGATAGGTGGATTATATCACACTTCCACAAACTTGCCATGACAGATGCCACGTGCTTACATTGGTAGAAGGAACCACTGGATGGCTGGAAACATATCCCATGCCCCACAGCACCACTCAAAATATTATCCTGGAACTTGAAAAGCAAATCTTGGGGCAACAAGATACTCCAGAAAGAATTGAGTCAGACAAAAGGACTCGTTCCTTAAACAATCTCATAACCACTTGGGACAAAGAGCACAGCACTGGGTGTGTTTATCTAACCCCCTATCATGCACCAGTCTTTGGAAAAACTGAACAATACAATGGACTGTTAAAAGCTAGGCTGAGAGTAATGGGTGCTGAGATATTCAAACACCGGGATACACATTTAGCAAAAGCTACCTAGTTATATAACACTTGGGAACCTGCCAATCAAGCTGCTCCTGCCCAAACAAACCTCCTGCATGCTGTAGAAGGGGATAAAGTTCCAGTGATGCACTTAAAGATCTTGGTGGACAAGACAATCATGATCATTCCTGCTTCAGGCAAAGGCAAGCCTATTCAAGGGATTGCTTTTGCGAGGGATCTGTTACACATGGTAAGTAACATGAAAGGACAGGGATGTCTGTGTACCTCAGTGTAATCTGATGCTGGAGGAGAACAGTATTGTGTATATTAAATGTTACATAGATGTTACAAATGTTACATAATACTGTATGTCATCATTATTATGTTTATTGTACATCTTGTTAACAGTATTACAGTAAGAACTACTCAGGTTAAAGAACAAACTCTGATGGAAACAGAATTAGCTTCTGCATGCATTAAACCTTCACTGTGAATCACCTCTCCTGCACTGAAAAACTATTATGACAGATGGAACTTTAAGTTATGAACTAAATGAATATCATGATACAATGGACAACTTAACGGATGGCCCCTAGACTATGGAAATAATATATGTGTATACATATATATATATATATATATCAAGATAGATAGATAGATAGATGCATAGGTGATGGTAATTAGTTAAGGTGTGTAAAAATTGTGTGACCTGAAATTGAGTAAATAGTATGGAATAAGGGATGGATATTGTTTTAGATTCATCTGGTTTTTTTCTTCCATGTCTGGTATGATGCTATTGGTTCTAGGAGAAAAAAGATGCTGATAACACACGAAATGTTCATAGCTGCTGCTAAGCAGTGTTGTACAGAGCCAAGGCCATTCTCAGTGAAGGGCCCAAGGAGCTGGGAGGGAACAGAAATAGGACCGCTGACTTAAACTGGCCAAAGGGATATTGCATACCATATGACATTAAATGGGAGGAGTTTTGAAGAGGGGTGGGAGTTCATCTCTTTCTCTCCTGTTTCTCCAGGTTCAGCTTGGCATTGGTTAGGTGTGCACTAACTATTATCCTTTTCCATGTATCTATCTTAGTAAATAGTTTTATCTCAACCTATTACTTCTTTTTTTTTTTCTTTTCTTTTCTTTCTTTTCTTTTTTTTTTTTTTTTTTTTTTTTTTTTTTTTTTTTTTTTTTTTTTTTTTTTTTTTTTTTTTTTTGCTTTTTTAATTCTTTCCCCACTGGGAAGGGGAGGAGTGAATGAACGTCTGTGTAGTGCTGAGCCAGCTTTCAGGTTAAACCACAACACTGGAGCACCTCCAGCCCTCCTGCATTGACCTTGGTGCCTGCAGAGCTGTTTCTCATTTCTCACTGCTCTCTCCCATCTGCTTTTGTGCAATACGTTTTTCCCTTTCTTAAATCTGGTCTCCCAGAGCACACCCAGCATTGCTCTGCCCAGTGCTGGGTCTCTTTTGGTGCAGCTGGAGCTGGCTTTGATTTGACATGGACCAATGTTGGGCTCTGCTCACAGAGGCTTCTACTGCAGCTCCCTTAATACCAGAACCTTGCCACATAATGGATTTTTATGCAAATGTTAAATCTAAATGCTGAATGAGAAGTAGGTTCACACACAAGGCTGGGTGTAGCCACAATGCCCAGAAGAAAAAGTTGTGTTGTGCCACTCTGAGCCTTCTTTATTGTCACTCATCTGGAAGATCATCTGCTCACTGATCAGTGTGATCAGAGTCACTTTTGCCACCCTGGCATGTCAGTATGTATACACTCATCTAAACTCAGTCTGTCTTCGAAGGGATTAGAGCTCCAGCTTCTGCTTAGCTTTTTACTTTTTTTATCATTATTTTTGATTTTTATTGTCATGTAGAGATAAGAGGTTGTCTGTACCACTCAGAATTGTTCAGCAGCCTGCAGAGATCACGAAGACTGTCCTCTCTCTTGGAAGATATAAATTTCTTAAAAAGTCAGTATAGAAAGGAACCTTTATTTATTTTTCGAAAAGACAAGTGTTGAACTGAGGATTGTGTGAAGGAGGAGAGGCAGACAACATTAAGCAACAAAATAAGCAACAAACTCCATACAGATGACTTGCAAGGAAAACAAAGGCAAACACACTAAGAGCTAGAGACAGTTCGAAAAGAAGAGACCTCCTTGCTAATACTGAGCCAGTTTTAGATATTTTTATTACCTTGTCTGACATCTTTCCTCTGTAGGACTGCTAATGTAGCAATAACAATGTTTTAGGATCCTTTGATTTGATCGTAACATTGTTGTTTGAAAGAGAAGGGCAATCAAACAAAGACATTCTCAGTTATATTAATATAACTGTTCTCCTTGTCAAATAATCTTAGTTAAGCCAGCTAAATGATTTCACAGTTATGTATTGGCTCTTTGATAAAAACAGAGAAAGTCTGCTTCCTAAAATTAATGCATCTAGCAATCAATATATTTGGCTGAAGCCAGGCAAATTGCCATCAGGTACTGTATAAATTCTTCTCCCAAGAAGGTCTCCGAATTGTGGTGTGTAGTTTTCAGGTGGTAATCTCCAGAGGCTGCTAATCATGCTGTATCATGGGCACATAGGCATCCTCAGGCCGACTGCAAGACTCGTTCACAAGACTTACAGAAAAAGCAGAGACACAGGGGTGGCAAAAACACAAGCAGTCAGAAGCAGTTTTCTGGTATTTAGTAGAGCTGCACCGAAAGGAGGGGAGGCAGAGCTGATGAATGGGTAAGAAATGCAAGTTGCTGACACCTGAAAGTGAAGACTGCCAGTTGACTCTGAGTCATACTGCATTTCCTTTTCCTGTACCATGGCCTACACACTGTAACAGGAACAAGGCACCCCAGTATCTTCCTCAGAAAAACAGTTATGTTGAGGAGAAACAGCATGCACTGGATCCTGGATGCTGGCATACAAACCTTCCTGACATTTAAGTCTTGTTCTGCACCTAACTCAAGAAACAGATGTAGTGCAGTCTCTTCAGCCAAGGGTCTGCCCCGGCATCAAGTCATTCAGATTGATGTATGGGACTTTCTGAGCCCCTGTCAGTATAACTATGTTATTGACAGTCTGAGAAAAATGATAAATTATGTCATTTGAAGAACAAAATAAGTTTTACTTTTTCTCTTTTTTTTTTCTTTTTAGCATAATTTTGCCAAAGTTTAAAACAAAATAAGTAAAAAAGTTTGATTGATCCATTGTAAAATAAAGGGTTAATAAATTATATGTCATTATATGATAGGTAATCAAGAATCATAGAGCTACTTTTTGAATCACTGTAAGTATTATTTTAAACAGATTGCTGAACTATTGGTTTCAAATACAATAAGAATACCAATGTAAATCATAGAAATTGTTTTGTAATTATGAATTTGACTAATATTCCCAAATCAGTTAGCAGAGCACAATACAAGTACCAAGACAAATAAGGTAGTTAAAGAAAGGAAGAGAGTAAAAGCAACATGAAACACATGAAGTCTAATATTAAAAGCAATTAGAAAGACCAAGTATATGAATTTCTCATTTCTTATGAAAGAAAAAGCCTTAAGTATGCAAGAAAAAAAAAATACAAAACCTCCAAATTTCTGTTTGCTAAATTTCAGTTACTTCTGGAAGAATCAGTTACAGTGCCCTTTCTCATGCATTGCTATAATAATGTCAAATGAATTCAATGGGATAACTATTACAATATGGCACTATCAGGAATGAGTCAGTGCAGAACTAGTGAATCCTGACTAGTCTGCAACCAACATCAAGGAAATGCCACAGGCAGGTCAGCTGCAAATTCGTTCTGAAGTATCTGGCAGTGTGGTTTTGACCAAGACAGAAGTCCCTAAGTATTGTAAAGATATTTTCTTATGTGAAAAGACAAAAATTACCCTGTGGTAAGAGTAGTCTAGCAGCAGCACCAGTAGAAAAAAATGCAATTCCCTGAAAAAAAACCACCCCACCCCAGTCTGAACATTAAATTTTAGGGAGATAAGCTTTCATCTTTTTGCTTGTTACAGGAAAAAGAGTGTGTTAAAGAAAGAAAGAAAAAGAAAGAAAGAAAGAAAGAAAGAAAGAAAGAAAGAAAGAAAGAAAGAAAGAAAGAAAGAAAGAAAGAAAAGGTGGAAAAAGAGAATAGACAATTTTAAAATTATGTAAAAATAATCAAGTAGATGTGCTTCCAGGCTTGTACTCTCAGCTAAGAATGATTTTACATCCAGATTACAAAGACACTGACAATAGGGCTTAACAATGACAGTGCATGCATAACCCTAACCATGGCAGTTTGACTGGCATTTCAGTATTACTGTATGCAACTGAGAGCCTTCCAATCAGCCAGAACAGTGGGATCCACTGAGGAATCGTGATCAAGTAGCTATTAGGCCAAGTGGTATTGTCAGAATTTCTCAATTTATGCAGCTTCTTTCAGATATCTGAGTCCTGAAGCTTCCAAATATCTAAAGGGTTCAATATCGAATAGAACATGTATTTAAGGAAAATTGTCCCCCAAATTACTATGCTATTGTCATTTGTTCTTTTCCAGATCACTTAAAGGGTAAAGTGGAGACTATTTTTAAAATTCAATATGAAAAAAATTACAACTGAAGTTTCTTTAGAAAAAAAAGTTCATTTAACCAGCTGCATCTCTCTTTTGTACTGTGCTCGGATGTTAACTTGAATTACAGCTTCCATCTTTCTCATGCATTTTTGTTGTCTGTCATTTGCGTTTTGGGAAACTTAGCACAGTTTTAGATTTGAACTGATTTATACTCCTTTGGCCAAGCCTGAGGCCTTCCAAACTCTTCTGGAAAAATACCACATTCACAATCACTCTGGCAAGGTTCTGCTTGGATTCTTTTCAAGTAACACAAAAGCTGTACAGCATGTTATTTAATACCTTATCCTTTTCTCACTGAAGTCTGCTGCAGAGCTCCAATTGACTTTGCTGGGAGCAAAAAAAGAACCCCAAATGCCAAACTGATTTGGCTACTGCTTTAATAAGGGGATTTTGCAGCATGTGGTATAATCAGTCTTTGTACAAGCTCAGCACTGGGAAAACTATGCACCCTGACAGTCTGCTTTTCCCATGATCTGCTGGCCAATTCTTGCCTGCCAGTGCATCCAGGAAGAAGTCTACACTCAATTTGTCTGCCTGCAGTACTGCAAGTGCTTAGGACCACAGAGAGGTAATGACTCTTGGATCCCAGAAAAGCAAGTGTCTAACGTGAGAGTAAGTGAGCACTCTAAACACAAGATTTTGCATTTCTTATCTGGGAACACATGTAGAAGCTTGTTATGATCTTTTGCTCAAATATTAAGGGAAAAGAACTGAGCAGTTTTACAACTCAGATTAAAATTGCATTCTACAAGCTGCAGCTGCACTGAGAGTCATAAGCTCTTCATGTAGAAAGGAAATATATTTTGCCATAAAGGCAAAAAGAGGAGGAGCACCACTTGCAGTGATAAGTATTGCATTGCAGCATTGTGGTCATGAAAGATATGCCATCAGTAACAGAAATCTTGTCTGTAGAAGGTATTATATCATTTGTCTTGTTTTCCTTATTAACTTCATGCAAATATGAAATCAGAAACTGCTGATCCAGAGCCACAAGGGCACATCACTTTCCCAAATGTGTAATAAAACCCACTTTAATTAATTTTATTTTCCATCTTTAAAGACAGAATGAAAAAGTTAGAAAAATGTGGGTACCTCCAGTTAAAGAGGCATTTACATGTGTTCAGGGAGCAATGAAACCTGATAATCATTACTTTGGTGAGCCTGAATCAGCCATAAGCTGTGCTATGCTTGCTCATATGTAACTGCAAGCTGTATTAACTAGGGGCAGTAGGGAACAGTGACAGCTACAAGTAGTGCTGACTGGGAGGGAGCAACGGAAAACTGTGGATTTGGGATCCACTTACCACATTTTAAAGTAACTACTCTTCAGTGAAGACACCATCTTCAGGCTGTTCTTCCCTTTAGTGAGATTCACTTTGCCTCTCCTTCAGAGAAAGCAGAAATGGGTTTTTAGGGACTGTTTTGTTCTATTAACAAACAAAATGATAAGGAAATGTCACAAGAGAGTAAGTGAATATCCACAGGCTCTGTTGCTGCCAGGATGCCAGTCACAAATTGCAAGAAGTGTGATACTGTTGGTAATCATGTAGAGACAGTCAGGGGAACAGTAAAACAAAGTGACAGTGCTTAGAAGAGGAAATATAGAAAGGGGACTCATGGGGAAAAAAAATAATTAACAATTCTTAAATACCTATTAGTAAGGGACTTTACTGCTGGTTAATATTTGAAGTTGCAGATTCACATGGCTGTTGACTGACATTTATATATACACAATATAAACATTTCATTAATGAATTTGACTCATTAGTCACAATGAAATTGACTCAGTAGTCACATACATCATTTCAAAATGAGAAAAATATTACAAAAGGAATCATTAGCTTCATTCTTGAAGTGATGTTATAGTTTTCTTTTATTATTTTCTTTTATTATTGAGAACTTAATGCTTCAGTCTCTTCAGCTACTTCTAAGTCTTGATCTCCAAGCAGAACAGCATAAAGTGTAGCTACGGTGGTTTTGCATAGAACTGAAGCTATATTATTATTTGGTCCATCTCTTAGATCAACTGAATAAGATAAAATGGAAGAAAAAAGAGAAGATTGGAAGGAATAGCTCTGGTTGTTTAGTCGTGTGGTTTGAATGTAACACTATTTGTTCACTAATTACCAGTTTAAAAGCGAGTGTAAGTAGATAAAAAGTGATTGGGCTTATTGATTTTCACACTGAGGCATAGTGGGAAGAGGGAGCAGTTAAATTCCCTAATTCAATAAGAATCAACATTCCTTGTATGGAACAAATTTAATTATTGAAATAATTAAATAAATCAGGAAGATAACAGATAGCAGTAGATGCCGACTTCAAGAGAATTTATAGCTGTGAGTGAAAATGTCCAGGTCTGTGTCTCTGTTTTAATAAAGTCAGTGTTACTGAGTGTTTTTGTCCACCTTTGAATGGTGCCTTTCAAAAATATCTCTAAATACAAGTAGATTATCACACACCTAAAACTCTAGAAAATGTGAAGTTAAAAGGAGGATACTCAAAGAAAGGTCTGAATGGTCACTGTGTGCTAGGCTGTATAGCAAGTTCCTATGATAAGTTTCCCACCCTTATTCTTGTGACGTTTCCTAGGGATTTCACTGGAAATATATGTGAAGCAAGACTGACTATGTGTAAGAATTGCAAAGTATGTCGTGTAGTAATTAGAAACAATATTTTCTATCTCCCCATATGCAGATATAATATTTTAGCATATTCTGAACAGGACTGCATTTGGCAATGCACAGAGCCTGTTTGAAATGTCTCAACAAGTCTCCAGTACAGAGACTGAGGGATGATAAAAATCTCCCACAAAATTATTTATCTGTACTGCACAGACTGAAGAAAGCTTTGTCCTTTTTATTTGGGACAGTTTAATCAGATGTCTTTGAATATGCTGGGTAGAATAAAGTAAGCTTAATAAACATGCACTGGCTGAAAACTTCTTTGTAATAGCTCAATATTTGTTTTCCTTTCTTTTCTTAATGCCTTTGAAAGAAACCATTTGAAGCTCTATGGTGTCTGAACTTCTCCTGCACTGAAGTGCGTATAGAGATGAGAAGAAAAGCCAAGCTGACTATTGTGATCATGCTTTTCTTTTTGGTTTGAGAGATAAGGCTCCACAGAAATCTGCCTTGTGGTACTGAATTTAAGAAGATGAGCAAGGCAATGGCTTGAAACTTCAGGCTTTCAATAATGCTCCTATATTTATATGAAGATACAATAATAGTAAGGAAAAAGCCTCTGCCCCAGTAAAAAATGGAGGAACTAATCCTCCACCACAGAGTACAATGGGAGTTTTGTTATTTACTTCAGTGGAATCAGAACATAGTATAGAGGATAGCATCGTCAGTTAGGCACACACAGAAACGAAGGTTAAAAAGACACTCATCATCAGTGCCCCCAATACTCATATACTGGGATTTGTTAGTTTTTATAGCACTTTTCTCTTTGTCTCCACAGTTTAAAAAAACAGGCTATGTTGTTTTGTTTTGGTTTTTTTTTTGTTATTTATTTTTCAAATGAATCAATCTCTGATTTTCGTATTTTTAGTATGTCATTCCTGAGAACTGTTTCACCAAGGCAGATAGCTTTACCTGCATTAAAAAATCGCGTAACTTATATAGATGCATATTTATGCACTGCGTATCTACACATACAGTTTTATTGTTATGTATTTCTATATCTATACATAAATTACATGCTGGAAGTGAAATTGATTTATATGTTTTAGCTGACATTTAAGTTTTCTAGTGTATGATACAATCACAGTCACCCTTATGTAAAAAAATACTCTAATAACATGCTACTTTTCACATCTAAATGACTATTTTAACAATTTAATCATTCATAAAATATGTAACCAGACAATAATTCAGTTTCTTTTCTACAATGTTTGAATGACTTTGGTCATAATGAGGAAAGGAAAACTGTCTAGAAAGGATTACTCTGCAAAACACAATAGTTCAACCTCCTTTACAAAGGATTTTTCAGTCTTGTCTGTGTGCCATGTTAATAATTCAACCTAAGAAAATTAACCAACACAATTTTACTAAACAGTAGATAATTTAAAAATAATCTCTATGAGCATTCTTAACATTCATAACTTTCTGTTATGACCACGAGTCATTCTTTTGCAGTTTAATATTTCTTTACAAAATTACGAAAGGAGCATAATTAATAAGAAAATAGAAAGTGACTGTATGTTATTTCTGTATTTTTTCACGAGGCTGCTTTTCTTTAGCTACATCTTAAGATTTTTTACTTGAAGATGCATTTCCTGAAATATAGACAATGCCATTTAAAGAAAAGAAAAAAACATTTTAACAGAAAAAGTAGTTGAGCTCTGGAGCTGTGAGCTTTGAGAGTTTCTGACTCTGTGTGCTTTGAGAGTTTGAGAGGCATTGTTTTAGATGATCTCCAAAGATCCTAGCCAACCTTGGCCATTCTGTGATGTTAAAAATGTGTGGCTTATTCCAGAACCCAACTCCCAAATGGTTGTTGTATATACAGGAAAATAAAATAAGCATTCCCTTGTATGACCTGCAAGAGCATATAACCTTTTGTTTTGCTTAAAGGAGACATAAGAAAGTTGTTACAGTGGTTGTGAATAAACCACATGTATTGTATACAGAACTAATGCAAATAAGAACTGGACTTATAATTTTGAAATGTGAACAAAATGAGAGTGAATTCTACTTGTTACTGACAGATTTCTTATCGGATTGAAGTTGCTTTTCATAACCTGTTCAAGTCTTGTCTCTTCATGAACCATGCAAATGTAGTTTGACTTCTGTGCACCAGATCCCAGTATCCACAAGGCAAACAACACACCACCCTATAAACAATCATCTCATTACAATACGTTATTATCAGAGGAGAACGGTATAAGAATATATCTATGCTACAATCTGAAGGTTTGACATACAAAGAACAGTTCTTAATTCTGGGTTTGTTTGACGCAGAATCACATGCAGGCACAGATTTTATCTCAGTTAAGAAGACAATTTCTGTTAAATTAGCCAGACCACGCAAAAACAGAAGTTATGCTTCTTTTATGTTCAGTGTGGAACTACAAATAGTATCTGAATTGTGACAGAATTAAAGCAGTATGGACAGACACTTAGTCTCACACAGGTTTATCTGATAAAAAGTAAGCATTTTCTTGTTAACAACTCAGAATAAACAAACTGAACTCTTATCAACTAAATACTCATGCAGTATGTGTTTTAATCTTGGACACTAATATTTACTTATTCTACTTATTACTTATTTTACTGCCAAACTCCATTCAATTTGTGGAATGCAGACACAATCCAGAGCTGCCCAAGAGGATGAAGAGTAGGGATAAGAGGTCTGAGCTGTATCTTCTGGGTTACACAGTTATCATCAATCAGCTCAAACAGGCTTCCTCAAGCTACCATCATGTTTTGGATTAACGTGCTCTGCATCAAAATCTATGGATTGGAACAAGTTGCCCAGGGAAGTGATGGAGTCACCGTGCCTTCTTGATGAAGCACTTACAAACATAGTTTAGTGGGCATGGTGGTGATGAATAAGATTACCTTAGAGGTCTTTTCTGGCCACAATGAATCTATGATTCTATGATTTCTCTGCTGTTGATTTTCAGGACTGAGGGCACAGTCAGACCTCCCTGTCTCTGCCCACCCCTCGGGTTATCTGCACCCTGGCCCAGGACCCTATTTCAGGCCATCAGCCCCTGCTGCCATGAGGCCACAGAATGGCTGATCTCCAGCTCCCCACAGCCCTGTCTTGTCTACCAATGGGTCTCACCCAGCCTGGCCCACCCAGAGGCCTACATCCCAGAGTAGTCTCAACTCATTCATGTCCTCAATGCTTGGGGTGTCCCAGTGCCCACAACAACCCTGTTCCTGGCTGGGGGTGGGACAGGACCTGACTGCCCTGGAGGTCTCTGAAACTTGTTAAATAGCAATGCAAACACGTTTCTCTCCCTGCTCATTAACTGCTACCTTCTTGTTATTCTTTATTTGTGGCCAGCAAAGATACATGGCATTATTTCTTCATCATGCCTGGATGACAAGCTATAAAAGAACAAACATTCTCATTTAATAAAAAGAGAAAAACAAATAGTAAATATGTCCTTCTTGCATACGAATACTGGTTTTTGGCATACAACTTTTCACTGCTTTCATGGAGAATGACCTAACAGTCACGTAAATAGAAAGCCACTGTGAAAATAAGGTAAAAGAAGTACAAGGACGAATAACCTATGTCTGAAACTGAACAATGTCTGACGTACAAACAGCAGCTCCCCAAGGCCAGCCCCTCGCCTGCAGGTGACTGCTGCTGTTTTGTAAGACAAGCTTGTACACGACATATTGAGCACACCACTGCAGGTTTTCAAGCC